AAGCTGCCTGATTACATATTGACCTGCAGACAAAGTGAATCCAATGGAGCCAGGCTGGCCCCTTAGGAAAACTTCAGGCTGTTCATTATGGCCCGGGATGAGCTCACTGGTAGATTAACTCCATCCTCACCACTTGTGATGCTACAGGCCCTCAGTGCTCGCAGTGAAGCCTTCAGTGATTTGCAAGTTCTCCATGAAAACGTGGACCACGGAGTCCTTTTACATGGTGCAAAGTGTTTAGGACTTGTTGCAATCTCATATATGATCCTGTTGAGGAGCTGGAGAGCTCAGGAGAGGTTTCCATCAGCTCTTGGAGTGGGATGGAGGAGGGCTGGGGGTTCTCCATCCCTGCAGAGGGTCCTGACAATAAAGCAGGAATTTCATATTTCCCTGTCAAGCCTCAAACCCCTCAATTCCCTCCCACTGAGGAGGGAATCCCTTGGCCAGGTTTTGAGTTCAGGGGGCATCAGGGAAGTGAGGAGTTTGCTTGGAAAAGAACAGAAATCCCTTGGCAAGAGCTGCCATGTGAATTTCAGGAATTTTCTTTTGCAGAAATCTTGTCCATTTGATGCTTTTTAACATTTAAACATTTAAACCAGCCCAGAGCTCCCTTTGACCCCAAACGTGAGTTTGCTCAGAGTCTGGTGCCTGTTTTTTATTGAAGAGTGTGTTTTTCATACAGAAATGCAAGAAAAATAGGAATAAGGATGGCAAAACCCTTGCCTGGATCCAGTTCCTCCTTTGCACTATCACTGCACTCAAACAATGGATGGAGAGAGACTCAGTAGTGAACCAGGTTTCCTGTGACTCCACGATGCCATCCCAGAAATTCCAGGTTTCCCATTTACAGCTCGGAAATGTTTCAGGGGTTCTGTAAACTTGTTCTAATTTCCAGCCTAATTTTTAAGCAGTTTGTCCCACTTGTTCTCCTGCCAAAGAATTCCATTAACCAAAACACCTCTCAAGCCTCACCTGGTTCCAATTTTGCTTCCTTCTTTCCTGAATCCATCAGGATTTTGCTGAGAGCTCCCCCCTTTTTGGCTAAACCAGCCCCCAGCCTCAAGTTTGCAGCAAAGGCCTTGCATTGACTCCTCTCTCACAAAAAGCCAGCCCAGAGTTGCTGCTGGAATTCCTAAAAAGCCAAGTTCTTCCTTGCAAATCAGTTGATTCCAGCTTCTTATAGATTAGCTGGAGCTGATAAACTTGGCATTAGGAACCAGGCACAGGTATTATCCCTTCCCTTGTCAGCTCTGGCCAAATCACAAGAGATCTGCAAAGATTTACAGAAATCTGGTTGGTTGGGATTTTTCCTGCCTCCTGCCAGCTCCTCTTGCCAGTTTGACCATTTGCCCACTCATCCTCCAAGAAGAGTGAGTCAGCTTGGCAAAACAATAATAAATAAAATATTCCAAGCCGGTCCCAGCGTGGACTCTCTGCCCTGACCCAAACTGGACCCTTGGGACTGAAAAGCCACAACCCATCCTGGCCATCGCTCCTCTGGCTCTTCCCAGCCCTGTCCTTGCTGAAGTACCATCTCCCAGTTCACCTTGGATAGTGTGGTGCACTAAAACCCTGGAATCATGGAATGGCTTGGGTTGGAAGGGACATTAAAGCTCATCTTGTTCTACCCCCTGCCATGGGCAGGGACACTTTCCACTAGGCCAGGTTGCTGGATTCATCCCAGCTGGAGGAGGAGGCTGAGGAAGCTCAGAGGTGGGAGGAATTAAACAGCTCCTCTTGCATCACTCTTTCCTTCATCCCATCATGAGCCCACCGGAACGAGATGATCTTTAAGGTCCCTTCCAACCCAAACCATTCCACGATTCTATGATTCATAGGGAAGGATCCAGCCTTATTTTGACTGTGGTTTCCGGCAAAAATCCATGGCAGCACTTAGGGCAGGAGAAGAAGAGTGATCAGATCGGGTCCTGTCCATGTGTCGTGGAGAAAAACCCGCTTTGCAAGGAAATAAACTCGGGCAATTAACTGGGAATTAAGATTTAGCCACGAGCAGCAGGAACGCGTAGAGGAGACAGCTGTTAAATTTGGGATGTGACAAAGTCATGCGAGCACTAACTGGATTACTTGCATTTATTTGGGAATACTGATGTATTTTATTATGCAACATATAGATCACCATAATTCTGCTTTTCACTCCACCGGCGCCTCCCCCTCCACCTCCGAGCGTCTTAGGGAGCTTTACAAACAATTAAGCTGCGCTTTCCATCCGCTTTGGGGGAATCCAGGGTATTTGGGATCGGAGATGGCTTAATTAATGGGATTGATTTTTAACCCTCTCTGAGCCAAAGCCTCGAGTTTTAGCTTTTAAAGGTTTGCTGCTCTTCCTGGGCTGACTGTGGGATGAACTAGCCCAGGTCACTGGAATGAGTTTTCCAGGGATGCAGATGCATCCGTCCCTCCAGGGATGGTGATTGTAACCCGTTTAGGTTGGACATCAGAAGGAATTTCTCCATGGAAACGGTGGTCAGGCACTGGAAGGAGCTGCCCAGGGAGGTGGTGGAGTCCCCACCCCTGGAAGTGTCCAAGGAATGACTGGACGTGGCACTCAGTGCTCTGGGCTGGGTGACAAGGTGGGGATAGGGCATAGGTTGGACTTGATGGTCTTGGAGGGCTTTTCCAACCTCACTCATTCTGGAATACTATAAAGGGGGAGATGATAAATCCTTAAGAGAGGAGGAGAGCTTGGGTGATCACACAGTCCCAGAATTGGGTAATGGCTCCATGTGTGCTCCTCCCCCTCTGCAGACACCTCCATGTGTCCCCACGACCCTTGGAGGTGGCATAAGCTGCTGTTCAGCACTTCCAGCCTCCTTCCCTGGCAAGCAGTGACAGATAAGTGCCTCCAGTTGCCTCTCCAGGGAAGAGTTTCGGGAGGCAGAGTGTAATCCTGCCTGCTGAGTTCGGTCCAGACGCTCTCAGACGTTATTAATCCTTTGTACCAGGCCAGCAGGGACCTGCAGCCTGCTCTAGGAATGTGCTGCAGGATGGGAGGGACAGGCACATCCCCAGTTTTCAGTCCAGGAGGCAGCAAAGGGATAGATGGATGAAGGATCCTTGGATCCACATCTCTGGGGGGCTCTCCTGGAAGATGTCACATGTTTAACAACCTCAGTGTCACTGTCTGAATTTCAAGCCTCAGGTGGCCCCATCCTTGGCACTGGGGGGGTTTAATCAGTGGGTCTGATGTCCCAGCCTTTCCCACAGACCACGTTGTGCCAAAAATGTGGCCTACAAGAGACCTGGAGAGGGACTTTGGGCAAGGGCCTGGAGGGACAGGACAAGGGGGAATGGCTTCCCACTGCCAGAGGGCAGGGTTAGATGGGATATTGGGAAGAAATCCTTCCCTGTGAGGGTGGTGAGGCCCTGGCACAGGTTGCCCAGAGAAGCTGTGGCTGCCCCATCCCTGGAAGCATCAAAGGCCAGGTTGGACAGGGCTTGGAGCAACCTGATCTAGTGGAAGGTGTCCCTGCCCATGGCAGGGAGTGGAACTGGATAATCTTTAAGGTCCCTTCCAACCCAAACCATTCCATGATTCTATGAAAAACAGGAGCAGTTTCACCTCCTCTCCTAGCAATTTGCTTCAGGTCCTGCTTGGAGCATCCCTGCTCCTCCTAAAAGATAGAGAAGTGGGATAGCTGCCAGGGAATGGGCTGTAACATGTTTGTCCACTCCTCCAACCCTGCACAGAGTGCTGAGCAGAGAGAGCACTGGACTCGAGGTGGGTAGAAAACCATTTGAACCCAATTTTTGGTTGCACTGGTCACAGGGGACCTGTGGGACCTGCAACAGCATCACCACAGCCCCTCCACCACCTTCAACAGCTCTGGAAAATGGGTTGGATCCACTTCCAGGGCTGCTCCAAAGCAGCCCATTGATGTAAATAAAGCCCTTGTTAAAGCAGGAACACTTGGAAAGCGTCGGCGCCGGAACACGAGCGACGGCACCGGGAGCAGGGACCAGGCGTCCCTCCGGGCTCAGGGAGGTGACAGCACACAGTCACACCCCCCCTGTTTCATAGCCCTGGTCTGTGCCACACGATGCGATGCCAGGCACATTCCTGGCCCTGTTTTCCATTTCTAGGAGCCGGTCAGGAATGGCACTCCTCCCCGCACAGATGTCGGGAAATTAGAGGGAATTCAGAGAGCGGCAGAAAAAAAAAATGATTAAAGGAGATGGAGGGCCTGATTTTGGAGGGAAAAGAAATCAGCTGAGCTATTTATAGTGCTGCCTGCACCGGGGTGGGAACAGGAATTTTTAAAAGTGCCTGGATAGCTCGGAAAAGGGGAAGGGACAAAGCAGCCTCCGGAGGATGCTCTCAGAGAGGGTGTGTGAGGGTGTAAATCCGGAGTGATGGGATGAAATGCCATCAAACACGAGCGTTTGGGGAATCATTGGTGAGTGCAGGGGACAGTTGTTCATCCAGAGTGAAAAAATGCCCTGAGAAAGATGTGTTGAGAGGCTGTGGAGGTGGTACCAGTGCCAAACCCCCGCTCCAACCTCTGCTCCCAGTATTTATTTACATCCAGCATTTTACGCAAAACGTGGGGGTGGGGATGGAAATCTTCCTCTTTTCATCCCAAAGCAAATGGTTTTGGTTAAAAAAAACCCCAAATCAGCTTTAAATTCAGCACTTCAGCTCCAGAGGCTTGTGGGAGATGCACGGAGAGGCTGCTGGGCTGGGATCCCCCACGGAGGGATGTGGGATGCAGGGGACCAGCCTGCTCCAGGGTGATGCATCCCTGGGGGAACAAAGCATCCTGCTCCTGTTTCCACATTGATTTCCAGGCCGGGAAGCAGCTCATGAATGTGTTGTTGCTGTAACATCCCTCGTTCCTCAGCGAGCCCCAAGCTCCCTGTGACAGCTCCCCTGTCACAGCCGAAGGGTTTCAGAGCAAAGGGATTCTGTGGGGGCAATTTGGGGTTGTCCATGCAGGGAGGAGCTGCCTAACGTGGTCCTTGTGTCTCCTGTTGCCTTGCAGGACCTCTCACTCCAGGGCCAAGGCAGAGGCGGCTGTGACAGCGGCGCAGAAAGCTCAGGAGGAAGCGCGGATCGCCAGGATCACTGCCAAAGAGTTCTCGCCTTCCTTCCAGCACAGGGAAAACGGTCAGTTCCGAGCCCTGCAGAGATCCAAACCCCCCAAAAATGAGCCCTGAGCAGAGGCTCGGTCTGTGCCTGCAGCTCCCAGTCCTCACCAGGACTCTTGGGGCGGGAAACCTCCCAGTAACACCAGTTTTCAGGGGATTTGGCTCAAGGCTTTCAATCTTCAACACTTCCACCTTGTTCAGGGCTTTTTTGTCTCCTCTTTTCACACCAAAACACATCCCATTGTCCGTGATGGTTGCACAGAAAAAAAATGACAGGGGCTCTGGATGGCAAATGCAAACACAGATGGTCCCAGAGGTCACCACTGATTTTACACCCAGGGCTTGTGTGGTTCATGCTTTCTTTGGAATGCCTGAACCGGCACACTTTAAGACCTGATCCTTCCCTTGGCTGTGCAAATCAGTCATGTCCTTCGAGGTGTTGGGAAAATCCGTGTTTGAGCTTGGCCTGGTAGCAAACCCTGCTTTCCTTCCACCTTCCTCAACATTCCTTCCCAGTTTGTCCAGATTTGTGCTCATTGGTAAGAGGTTCAGGCCCAGCAAAGGCTCAGGGAGGAGGGAGCTGAAGCAAAGCTGTGGTCAGATCAGGGGTCTGAAGGGAACCTCCAAGTCCCCACAGCAATAATTAACACAATAATTAATATATGGGACTGGGTTTATTCAAAAGTTTTCCTGCACCAAGCCCTCATTAGCAGGCATCTGTCATTATTGTCTCCCCCTCCCAGCTCTCTAACTGAAGATTACTCACTTGGCTTAATTGCTCCAGGAGCTGGTGCCAGTGACTCACGTTCCCTGAGGATGGGGAAAAGGGATCATTGGATCTTTTGGCCCAGCCTGCCCCAGTCCTCACTTAACCGTGGCACAGAGGCTGAGGGGGCAGCCAGGGGCATCCCATGGCTCAGCAGGATGAGCCAGATGGGCTTTGGGGGCTGGCTCCCAACATGGGCCTGCCTGAGCTGGGGCAGATCCCCATCCAGGAGACATCCATGGGCATTTTGGGATGGTGGAGCAATCCCCTGGCAGAGCACCAGAGCCCCACGCAGGTCTATGCTCGCTGAAGGAGGTTCAACACCCCCCCTCCCCCCACATCTCTCCTGCCGAGGTGCAATTTGTACATCAGAGATCTGAGCTTTCTCGCAGGTCTGTGTGGTCCCAGGGGCTCCTTCAGCCCTGAGATATTCCTCATCTCCATTTCCTCTTGCCAAGAGACTTTGCTGTTTTAAATCACCTCTTGGAAAGATATTTTTAGGTAATACATTTTTTACTACCTCTCCAGACGGGGACACGGTGCTTGACTTGTGCCGGGGTTCGTGTGGCTGGTGCTCCCGCCTGGGTGGGTTGGGAGTGAGTGAGGGGAGGGGAAGGGAGGCGGTTCCACTTAGAGCACATTAAAAAACAAACACACCATCCGAGATGCGTCGGGAAACCTGGAAGCGCCTGCCGAGCGACTCAGGCACATAATAGGTGGGAGTGGTTGTGACACCCCACGGACTCCGGGACCTCAGGCTGCAAACGGCCCGGGGGGAGTGGATGAACAGGGGTGGAGGAGCTGGCACCACCCAGCACTGGCATTGCAGGGGCTCTGCGTGCCCACCTTGCACAGGATCGTGGGTGCTGGATGTGCCCACCTTGCTCAGTGCCATGGATACTCTGTGTGCCCCCCTTATTTTGGGTGCTGGATGTGCACCCCCTGCACAGGATTAAAGTGCTGGATATGCCCTCCTCGTTCAGCATCGTGGGTGCTCTGTGTGCTCCCCTTGCTCAGTGTCACGGGTGGTGAATGTGTCCCCCTTGCACAGCACTGTGGGTGCTGGATGTGACTCCCTTTCAGGGTGCTGCAGGTCCCGAGTGCCACCCCCCGAGCACACTGTGGTGGGTGCTGTGCCACCCACACCATGGGTGCTGGATGTACCCTCCTGGCACAGCATCGTGGGTGCTGGATGTGCTCCTTGCAGTGTGGTGGGTGCTGGGTACCACCCACCTTACCCAGCGAGCGCTGTGGGTGCTGGGTGTCCCCACCCCGCAGGGTTTTCTGGGTGCTGGGTGTCCCCACCTTGCAGGGTTTTTTAGGGGGCTGAGGGACACTCAGAGTGAGATTCATGTCCACCACCATCCTGCCCTGGTCGTTCCCGCAGAACAGACTCCAGACCTGCAGGCACAGGCTCCAGCAACCCCTTTAGGCCTGAGGGAAAGGTGTTTACCTGGGAAAAATTAAAATATCCCTGCTCAGTGTCCTGCATCCTGCCCCCTGTGGTTTTCCATCTCCATCAGCCACGGGGATCTCTCCCACCCCCATCACTCTCCCGGTGGTTGTTCCTCCCTGGTTCCTGGACGCGGCAGGGTCAGTCCATGGAGCTGCTGAAGCGAGTCCCCCAAGGTGACAGCAGCACACCAGAGTTAGAGGCAGGAGCTCAGCACTGCTCCCAAATCCCAAACGTGGGTACTCCAGGGGCACAGGTTTGGCTCTGAAGCCTCCTGGGCTGGGCACAGCTGCCTCAATCCTCAGTCCTGCTGGAAATCCACAGTCGGTGCTCCGCACCCTCCTTCGCGCTCTCGCAGCCGTTCTTCCAGGAACATCACGTGCTCCGTGACTAATTTTAGCTCGGAATAATTGTTGCACATCCTCGGGTGTCGAAAGCCGGCAGGACGGCACCGGTGCATCTGCCGGATTCCTGCGGGAGGAAACGCCTGGATCCCTGCGGGCTCCGGAGCTTTGGGGGCAGCACCTCATCCCTGCTCCTCCCAGAGCCCCAGCCAGGGGCTGCAGAACTCAGGGAACTCGACCCATGGAGAGGCAGAGTTAGATCAGCTCCTTGCAGGTGTGGGTGGGGCACATTTAGGATGAGGTGGGGCTTAATAACATGATGTAGGGCTCCAGGGTGAGGATGCTGGAGCATCACTGGGCTTTCTTGCCCCTGTTGTGGGGCTCTGGGGATCGGGAAAGGTGCAGGAGTGGAGGGTGTAGCAAGGCCATGGCTGGCTGTGCAGTTGGAGATCAACTTTGGGGTCCTCAGAGCTGGTGGGAAGCTTTCAAGTGCCTGGAACTCCGGCAAAAGCCCTGGAGACCTGAGTTGTGGAAGATTCCTGAGACAAACAGGGACACACAAAGTCTTGGTTGAGCCCTTTCTGACAGGTGGCTTTCCAGCCTTCTTATACAAAGCCATTTATTCCCTCCGTGCCTCAGTTTCCTATTTGTGGTATAGGAGGGTGGCTGGAAGGGGAATGTCTGAACAACAAAATCAGTTTGTATTTTATCCCAGGGACATTTATTCTGCATGAAAACAGAGGGGGTGAGCTCACAACAATTTCCCACCAGGATTCCTCAGCAGCCTTGGATAAATCCCAGGAAAATCAGTCTCCCACATATGAACAGGGACACAGGGAACGAACTAAGGCTGAACTATCTGAGTATTGTCCCCAAAAATTGAGTCATTAGGAAATAATTTCCTGTAAATTGCTTCAGTAGGAGATTTCCAAGCTTGTTTCTATTCACCTCCCCTGTAAGAGCTCTGATGGGGACATCCAGCTTCACACTTCCATGTGCCCCACACATATCCCAATCCTGACATGGTGGGACTTGGGAATGGCTCTGGGTGAAGGCAAGTCCCAGCACCAGCAAATCCCCAAAGAGATGTGAGAGAGAAAATTCCTCAACAAAAGTGGAAAGATCAGAGCAGGCACTTCTAAGCATTTATTTTTAAATGATGGCAAGAAATTGAGTTCTTCCTTTTGGAGCCTCATTTCTTGCCTGGCCATGGCAATCGCAATTAAATGCATTTCAGGGGCATTAGGCACTTAATATATTTATCAAATTATTCCTGTAATTTAGCATGGCTTCACTGGGAACAACTTGAGAGGGGAAAATGAGAATTAACCACTATTAGCTTGAACCCCCTTGAAATAATTTGGTGTTTTATCAGTGATTAACAAGTTGGAGTTTTTTTGTTACTGTCCGGAGAAGTGACGTGTTCCTTCAGCAGCAGAAGATGTTCAGTCCCTTAGAAGTCCCTGTGCCCAGGGAGACACTGCCTGGGGAATCTCTGGGTTTGAAAGGAATGAAGAGACATCAGCAGGATGGAATGAGGAGGATGGTCTATGTTGTACGTGGTCCTGCCTATGTATGTGAGGCACAGCCACCTGTGTCCTCTCCAGCACACCCAGGGGGGCTGAGGAGGGAATTGTCCATATTCTCCTGCTCTGTGTGGGGCAGGAAAGCTCTTGGATAAAAGGTTTGCAGGATTTCCCTTGCACATCTGCCCAGATGTGGCCGTCTCTTTATGAAAACTTCGAGGTGAGATTTCCCTTCTGCACCTGACAGAAAGCCAAGGTGTTTCCCACCCAGGAGAGGTGTGAGGGCCATTGGCGTGGGATGTCTCGTGGGGTGTCCAGGACCATGGGGTGATCCCAGTGGCACCCAGCACACACAGAGAGCACAGGCTGAGCTGCGAGCTGCCACCAGCCACATCACACATTTCCCTTCTCATGCTTCCAGACTGGGATCTGATGGGAAAAGGTGATCAGATGAATCCCCAAAAAAATCATACTAATCCCCAGCAACAACTCTGCATCATTAGTGGCTTCTCCATGTCCCTGGGGCTACAGAACCATTCCCGTGCCGGCTGCAGCCGCTCGCACCGGGCGGCTCTGCGGGTGCTGGGGGTGATGTGAGGGCGGGTTTGGTGTCAAACCAGCGGTGCCTTCCTCTGGGTCCAGTGGCAGCAGCTGTTTCTTGCGCTGTGGTGCTGCTGTCCCGATGCCTCCCCGCTGTTCCTCACCATCCAACGCTGTTCTGCGACATGAAAACCCCGGCGGGCACTCACAGAATAGAAATAACCCTGTCGCCTTTCTCTCCCCCTCTCTCCTCCCCCTTTCACGGCCGCACAAAAAGGGCTCGAATGCCAGAGACCGAAGCGCCAGAACTCGAGCGATGACATCGAGGTCCTGTCCACCGGGACCCCCCTCCAGCAGGAGAGCCCCGAGCTGTACCGCAAAGGGACCACCCCGTCCGACCTGACCCCCGACGACAGCCCGCTGCAGAGCTTCCCTGCCAGCCCCTCCTCCACGCCCCCCCTGGGCCCTTCCTGCAGGAACAAGAGCGCCCACTTCTCCAGGCAGGTCTCGGTGGACGAAGAGAGGGGCGGGGAGATCCAGATGTTGCTGGAGGGGCGTGGCGGGGATTACCTGCGGCCCAACAGCTGGAGCAGCGAAGAGAAGGCCGGCGGGACGCGCGGCGTGAGAAGCGGGACCCTGCGCGCTGGGCAGCTGGGGGCGGCCCCCGCCCCCGAAGACTACCGAGGTCGGAGTGGAGGACACAAACACTCGGCCTCCAACCACAAGCAAAGAGAGAGGTGGACAGATTCCCCTGCCACGGTTTCATGGACTTCCCACCACAGGTCCCACAACCACAGCTCAGGGAGCTCCAAACTGCTTGAGCTGGACGAGGAGAAGATGAGCAATTACGAGATGGAGATGAAGCCCCTCATGAGGATGGATTCTTATATGCAAGAGATTCACACCCAAAAAAGACACTACAGCAAAGGGGGAGGCTGCAGGAGCATGGCTGACGACCACCGTGGGGAAGAGCGGGGCTTTGGGGTTCAGAGACTGAGGTCTAAGTCCCAGAACAAAGAGAATTTCAGGCCAGCTTCCTCTGCAGAGCCCACGGTGCAGAAACTGGAAAACCTGAGATTCGGGGACAAAGCTGAACCTCGGCTACTAAGGTGGGACTTAACCTTCTCCCCGCCACAGAAATCTTTACCTGTTGCACTAGAATCTGAAGAGGACAGTGGGGATGCGCTCAAATCCAGTACGGTGAGTAGGAGAAACTGGGTGTGGAAATCTGGTGGAGAAATGTGGTGCCACTGTGGGTCTGGGATGGGAAGGAAAACTGAAAAACCTGAATTATTGCTGGGTTTTGCCTTGGATCCCTCCTCCTCGCATCTCCCATCCTTTGAGGTTTTCCCTGAAGACTGCTGTGGTGGGAACAGCAGGATTTTCACTGGAGGATGTGAGCAGCAAGTTTGAGTTTGTTTTGCAACCCAGCCCCTGGATAAAAATCCATTATTGCTGGGAATTCAGTGGAAAATCTGCAGGTTTACACAAGACATTGGTGATGTCTTTTGGTTTAACCTGTTTTGTTGGTTATGGCAACAGAACTTCATGGTGGTCCAGGAGCATGTGGAGTACAACCCTTGTGAGACATCCCATCCTGGGCTCCTCATTTTGGGAGGGTTAAGGATACTTTGGGCATTAAGTGGCTGTTGGGAAGAGCAGGAGGTGTTCAGGCCAGAGGAGAGGAGACAGAGTGATCTTCAAACACATAAAAGCTGCTACAAAGTGGAAGGGAATAATCTGTTCTCGGTGAACAGAATTAATGGGCTTAAATTCAAGCCTTAGAGGAGGGGTGAGCCATTAGCCATCGCTAATGAGTTGAGGGCTGTAATTAATTGCCTGGGGAGGCTGTGGTGGATGGGAGGGAGGAGGGGGTCTAAGACCTGGTTGGACATCAGCAGCTCAGTTGGAACCTGGGCAGAGCTGAACCTCCCTGGGAGGAGGCTGAGCTGTGTGCTTTTCAGGTTCTTTGCAACCCTGGTTTTTGATGATTCCTGGATTTATCATAGAGAAACTTCCTCACTTCCTCACTTGTTCTCCCTGTTGCTTTGGCATTGCTAGAAGAGGTCATGGAGGGTCTGATGGGAGCAGTGGGGAAGCCACCACTGCCCCATATTGCCCCTTGTTGAGTCAGTACTCGACACAAGGCAGGGCTGGAGGTGCCCCAGGCTGGATGTCCCAGACCTACCCAGGAGAAGTGGAAAACCTGTAATGCTCAGGCAGGGATATTTCAGGCTCTGGCAGAAGAAAGGATCTAAATCTTCCTGTCAGGGGAGCAGAGGATGGTGCTTGGGTGTTTTGGGGTCATGGAATTGAAATGAATTTGTCAGTCACGCTGAAAATTTGGGCTCGAGGCGTGATGGTGTGTAAGGGATGATTCCAGCATCCCTGCTCCTCCAGCACCCTGCTAACACAGCCAAGGTGTTGGCACCTCCAAAGGTGGGAGAGAGGAGAGAGCGGTGGCATCTGCAGCCCAGGAGCAGCCAGGATGCAGGAAGGACTAAACTACTGATCTACCACAGCTCCCCTGCTGTGGCTGTGGATAAATCCACACACACACAGCCCTGAGCTTTCTGCCTTCCTGTTCATCCTGTGAGCTCGGCGCAGGCTCAGGAGCACCCACACGGCTCCGAGGGGGGCTGAGCACGCTGTGTGCTGGTGTCTGCTCTGCAGGACACGTCCTGCCAGCCCAGAAAACACAGAGCTCCAGTGAATTCAGCCCTGAGCACACCCCACTGAGCAAACCCGCGGGTGCTGAGCCATCCAGGCTGTCCTTACCTGCCTGTGTGGATGCCTGGAAGCACTGGAGACATGACAGGCAGCATTAGGAGCCTGACAGGCTCTCACAGGGGAAGAGCAGCAGCAGTAATTGCACAGACACCAACCCTGTTGAAGTCTGTGGGACTCGCAGATGCTGCAGCATCTTTGACAACATGACCTCCCGTGGCAGCAGGGAGCTGGGAGAGACATGAATCACAAAGGAGGGATGAAACCACAGTTTCTCCTCACTGAGAGCCACACGATCTTCAGGACATCTCTGGCACAAACAGTCCTGGGGTCTCTCCCCACCCACCCTGTGTCAGACACGCTGCTGAGACTTCCACCTCGCACATAAACCTCCCTCCACAACACTGGAGGCAAATAGCCACTAACACAGCACCACTGGCTATCCCCAGGGAGTCCTGGGCACTAAGGAAGGGGCACAGCCTGCGTGGAAAAGCGCATGGAAAAGCCATTAGGATGCACATCATACTTGTGAAGTGCTGTAGCTGTGGAGCAGCATGTTCGGTTTTCTCACATTCATAACCGAGGGTGGAACAGATGGCGAAGGTTTGGGAGGAAGCTAATGTAATACAGAGGAAGAGATAATATGTGGATTTAAATAACCTACAATGCCAGCAACAATTTGTTCTAGCAGGAATTGCACGGTGCTAGCAGGGTTTGGTTCCAGGGGCCTGGCAGAGAGGGGGTGGTCGGAGAGGAGCAGGGGGAGGTGTAGGAGAGGAATGGGAGGTACAGGGATGTGTGTTCCAACCTCCTGCCTAAACCCACGACCTTGCCTGCACCTGCCATCAAGGCCCTCAGAGCATTTCAAATTTCAGTGAGTGTGGTGAGTCCCCAAGGAAGAGGAGGGTCAGACTAAGGGGGAAGGATTTACCCCACAGTCCCCACATCCACCTCCAGGTGTGCACTCAGCAATGCAGAACATTCACCGTTCACACACTTAATCCTGCAAAAATCCACTGCGTCCCGCTCGTGCTCCAGATCTCTCCACACAGAATGAAGGCTCCTCAGTTTCCCCAAAATCTCCATTTCTCACACTAGACTGAAATTCCCCTTCCCTTCATGCTCCCTGGTGAGCGGCAGCTCCAGGACAGGGCTGGCTGCACACGCATGTCCGTGCACACGTGTGTGTGTGTGTGTGTGTGTGTGTGCGTGTGTGCCCACAATGCCTCAGCTTGCATGACAGCCTGCCTCCCTGGGATCCACAGCACTGCCATCTGGGAAGCTGCTCCCTGCAAAGGGCATTTCTCATCTCCCAGGCAGCTGGGCTGTTCCAGAAAGGTGCCTGCCAATGAGCGGGAAGGATGCTCGGAGCTGAGTAGGGCTATTTTTGCCCTACCTGGAGTATCCCTGTGCCAAACTGAGGTCACCCTCCCAGCTTAGCTTGTTTTAAAAATAATCTGCCATAAACCAGCTCTACACAAGCCATCAATGAGCCCAGTGAGCTGGCTCTGTGTTGAAGTGCCAGCTCCAGCTTCCAGAGAAGGCACACCTCTGGCAGTGCTCACCAGAGAAGGCTTGCAGTGCAGGGCTTTTAAAAACATACCCAAAAACCCCCACTGCTCCTGATTTCTGTGGACCAGCTGGAGGTTGTGGGGTCCCTTGTATCCAGCCTTTTCCCTCCCTGCACATGTAGGGATGCACACTCCAGGGAGGAGTCAGACTTACAGGTTGCTCTATGAGCTCTGGGAACTTTTCTCTGTGATTTTTCACCAGTCCTTTTAAAGAAGCTCCCATTTGTTGGAGCTGCACATAAGTAATTGAAAAATACTCTTAGGAAGGTCATTTCTTGAGGCCACCACTCAATAACACTGATGAAATTCAGCCCTGCTTGGCGTTCACTCTCAGGGGATTTGGGGGTTTCGGGGTCATCGAGCCAGTGCTGAAGCCACACAAATGCTTTAAAATCACATTTAAAGCCAACTGATCTCTCTGTGTCTCTGTGTGCACTGACCCTCTCAAACTCCCATCAATTGTCAGCGTTGGGGCAGAGGGAAACAGGAACCAACGTGCCGGGACCGGTGTCGGTGATGTCGGATTAAGGGATTTATAGGAACGTCACCATCCTTTCCATCCTTAAAGGTCCACGAGGCACAAAGCTCAAGCCTGTGCCTGGATGCTTCAGAGGTTCCTGGAGCCTTTGAGGAGATCTAAAATGGGAAAGGAAAAAAAAGGAATTGTTGAGCCACTGAGAAAGGAAAGTGGCTTTCTAAAACACCAGCAACCCTTTTATCCATCAGCACAAAACACAGCACATTGTAGGGCTGGGGGGAAAAAAAGAGACCAGATCTCCTTTTCTGCAGGTGCTGAACATCTGCAGCTTCTGAGAGGGACAGGAAGGGCTGTGGGCACAGAGGAGCTCAGCATGCCCGCGGGAAGGGCCGGTGCACAGGCACGAACGGAGCCTGATTCATCTGCCTGTCCTCATTTAGCGGGAGCAATCACGGCCGTTTAGGTGGAGACTTCCAGGGACACGTCGTGGTCTCACTAAAGGCACCCTGGAGACGTGAGTAGGCTCGAGACTTGGCCCTTTAAAATCCCACTGTCTCATCGCATCGAGACCGATGGGAGGGCAGGAGCAAAAAAAAAAACCCACCCCAGCCACCCCTGACATTTCCTTCCACCGTCACAGGCTGGCGGATAAAATCCCAGCGCTCTCAGCTGTTCGCTGCCTCCTCCTGCAAACAAATCCGGGGAAAAAAATGCAGCAAAGGCAGTTTAGAGGCATCTCCTGGGCGAGGGATCTCCGAGAGAGACCTCCCTGTCCCCCGCCAGGTCCCCGCGGGGGAGGCGGGGAGGGATTCCAGCGGCTGCAGCATCTCCCTCCCTGGCGCGGCGAGCGAGGGGCGTTATTTGCCATCAGGATATTCCGAGCAGGTTTCGCTGTCGCTGGGGAAAGTGAGGAGGAGGCAGCCAATCTGCAGCAGGAGCAGGGATCTGCCGAGTGCTCCGCGCAGCCGGAGGGAGCCGAGGGAGGGATCAGGGCAGGGGGCTGAGGGCACAGCCTGGCACGGGACGGGGAGGAGGGGATGGAGAGCCAGAAATGGCACCTCCCCACTGATGCCATGAGGGATGCTCCCCTTCTCCAGCGCTGTGGGGTTATTCTTGAAGGGATTGACCTCGAGGTGATGTGTTTTCTTCGGGGAAGTTGGGCAGTTTTAGCCCTAGAGATTGTAAAATGAGTTAAAAATAAGAACTGGGTGTTTTCTCTGCCCCAAAACAGCCACCCACTGTTTGGGTTGTGCACGGAGACGCTCCCAGCTGTCTGCCTTGGGACCAGTCTGCTGGGAAAGGCACCTGGGGACTTGTTTGGTGTTAACATCCCTGGGATTGAACTCCATGGCTTATCCCTGAGGTCTTCTCTTCCAGCTTCAGGTTTTTCCATTTATTTTTTCCCCATCAGGAGCCATCCCCAG